CCGACAGCTGCGGGTGGCGGGAGGCGGGGATCGCTGGCTGCCGAGCGGACAGGGAAGGGGACTTCCCACCCCCGCTTGGGCTCCTGCGGCGCCTCCTGGCGCGCCCCGGAGTCCTCGTGACCTCCGAAGTCTCCCGCGTGGTCTAGATGGCCGCATCATCCCCACGTCCCCCTGGGGGGGGAGGGCGCCGCTCTGGGGGGGGGGGGGGGGGGGGGCACCTGCCCTGCCGCGCGGGGGCCGCTGGCCAGGCGGAGGCGGGGCTCGAAATTCCCGGTGAGGCGGCTGGAGGGCTTCCCCAGGGCAAGGAAGCGCTTCCCACCGCTGCGCTCCCCCTGCACCGAAGGGAGCGCGCGTGCAGCCCAGTGTGGGTAGGCCCGCCGGCCCACGCAGGGGTGCTACGCGGCGGGTCTGCGCGGTCAGCTCCGCGGGGCAGGAAGGGCCCTCTGCAAATCACAGGAGGCAGGTGACTGCTCTGATCTTACAGATAAAAGAAGCTTGATGCCCAGACTGGTTCGGTGACTTGTATCCGGAGGCGTCAAGGCTGTGCTGATTCCGTTTCGCACCTTGCCCAGAGCCCGTTAGTTTCCTTGCCCTCCGCCAAACTGGGGTGTGGGGGGGGGGCGGGGAATGGTGGGGAGACCGAGGGAGAGGTACTCACGCCAAGGTCCCTCTTGGCTGGGCCATCAAAGGCTGGCTGCGTCCCTTCCTGGAAGTCACGGGGAAGTCCTCTCCACACTGTCGCCAGGCCCTGGCATGGCCGCCCCCTTCACCTCTTCAGACCTGGCCGTTACTAGTGCTCAGGCAGCGCTCTGTTCCTGTGTGTCCTCCCCTCCTCCAGCGTCTCTGGAAGTTACCCAGTCCTTTTATTACCCAGTCTCGGAATGTGCCCTGTCTTTCCTGCCAGGGCCCCGAATGGGATACACCAGACCTGTTCCTAAACTGGTTGCCAACATACGTATTGGCTTGTGTGGCTTTGAGTAAGTTACACAATCCTCTGAGCCCCAGTAACATTGTCTGTCATTGTGCTCCTGCCCAGCAAACGCCTTCGGCCCCTCTCTTCCTCCATTTGTACCCTGCGGGCAACGGAACCCTCCAAGGCCAATCCCGTCTTCCACCTTCCAGGCTAGAGCCCAGGGTGCTGGAGGAAATCATGCCACAGAGGTGACAGGACCTAACTAATTGTCCCTCCGCAAACCTACTATGGTCTCATTAACCCTCCTGCAACTCCCATAAGTGTCTCCAGGAGGCCCCCTTTGCCAAGAGACAGTCTTTCTCCGAGCTTCTTTGAGAACATAGATGCTAACAGGGGATCGTCTACACCTTCTCACCACCAAACCTCCACACTGACTAACACCCACCCCAATCCCCCTTCTTCCCTCTTGTCACAATGGAGGAAGCCGGCAGGCAGCCCAGCACAGAGGGACCCCATCACTGCTCTGGAACTCGCCATTCCTGGGTCAAGGATGTCTCTTTCCCATCTCCCCCAACTCATCAGCCCCTCATGTGGTGGACACTGATGGGACCCCCTCCATGACTGCAGAGAACTGTAGACAGCAGCTTGCTGGGCTGAATGGCCTACTCCTTCCCAGGGTGGCCCCATCCAGTGACCCGTGCAGAGGTAGAGGTCTGGCCATCCCAGCACCCCCCCCCCCCCCCCCCGGCCACCTCTGGAGGGCTATCCCAGCCCTGGAGCTTCTTGTGGGGCAGGCAAAGCAGGTTGGGCCTGCATCACAGCTGAACTTGTCACTTTGCCCAGGCCTGCTCCCCGAGTTTCCTTCTCCATCTCATGGTTTGTGAGTTCAAGCCCCACATCAGGCTCCAATCAGCTCGGAACCTGCTTGGGATTCCCTCTCTCTCTCTCTCTCTCTGTCTCTCTCAATAAATGAACAAAAAAAGATTTTAATAAAATAAAATTAAGGAATTATTGAAGTAATAAATATATCTTTATCCCTGGGACTATGGTTTCCTAAAAGGTACCTCTAAAGTTAAGAAAATAAAATACACGCATTTGGAATCATTTTTTTTAAATTTTTTTAACGTTTTATTTTATTTATTTTTGAGACAGAGAGAGACAGAGCATGAACAGGGGAGGGTCAGAGAGAGAGGGAGACACAGAATCTGAAACAGGCTCCAGGCTCTGAGCTGTCAGCACAGAGCTCGACGCGGGGCTTGAACTCACGGACCGCGAGATCGTGACCTGAGCCGAAGTCGGACGCTTAACCGACTGAGCCACCCAGGCGCCCCTGGGATCATTTTTTGAAAGTATGCCCTTTATTTATAGAGACAATATTTATTCACTTCTTGCTCTGAAACATGGGTAAACTGGCACACTTATACTGTTTTCACCCCTGTAACTGTAAAAAAATTAACTATCGTATACTTTACTTTATCAAGGTTGATAATATTGACACTTTTTTTTTAAGTTTATTCATTTTGAGAGAGAGAGAGAGAGAGAGTGGGGGAAGGACAGAGAGAGAAGGAGAGAATCCCAAGCAGGCTCCAAGCTGTCAGCGCACAGCCCGATTTGGGGTTCGGATCCACAAACTGTGACATTATGACCTGAGCTGAAGTCTGATGCTTAACTGACTGAGCCATCCAGGCACCCTTGCTTTTATTTTTATGTGATTCAACAGAGCCAAGAAACTGAGAGCTTCATTTCTGGTACCTATGTTTAGTTGATTGGAATTCATGGAATAAATGGCCATTGTGGATACTGTTTGAAAGCGTTCAAGAATGCTGTGCCTTCGACACCTTGAGAATGTCTGCCTATTGCCTTTTTAGACTTGAGGAAAACTTTGGCTGGGTATAAAATTATTTTAGTTACACGTTTGTTTGTTTGTTTGTTTTCCACTTAGAATGTTATAGCTGTTCTGCTTTCTCCTGGCATAGGGTTTTGCTAGGTCATTCTTGGATGGCATCCATTCTGCACTTCAACATCTCCTGAGTACTTTACTTCAATCACTGTCTATGTTTTATTCAACGTCTCTACTTTTTTAAATACTGTTTATTGGCATAACTTCATTGTCTAGTTTTTCTCCCTGAGCTCGTGCTCCTCAAGGATATCAGCTGATAATAGGTAGCTGGGGAAGGATGAGTTTACAGGATGTTTAGGAGGGAGTGCCCTTGGGACCACAGAAGGAAGGGGGTAAAGGAAGCAGGCTTGGTCAGAGGTTGAGAAGTCCCGTTGTGCTGCAGGCACAACATCCTTTGCTGACCCCACAGGAAACTCTGGGGCTCAGATTGCCCTCCAGAGATATCTGAGATTGGCCGGGATGACCAGGCTTCTGCCCCTTCAGAAGGAAAGCTGGCTTACCTAAAAACATCAAATCTCTTCTTTGACCCCATTTATTTTTCAGAAGAATTGCATTAGTAATTTTTCTCTTGTAATTTCTTGAGAGGTTAGGGAATGATTATTCTGACTCCTCACTTTTCTTTTAAATGAATCGGCTTTATTTTTTAGAGCAGTTTTGGGTCGATGGAAAAGTTGAATGGAAAATACAGACCTCCCATTTATCTCCTCAAGCACCGTTTCCACCCATATTTCTGCCTAATATAAATATCTTGTGTTAATGCAGTACAATGGCTACCACTGATGAGCCAATATGGGCATTATTATTATGTAAAGTCCATAGTTTACATTAGGGTATAACACGCTTTGTGTTACACACTCGATAAGTTTTCAGAAATGCGTGTCACCATTATAGCCACACGGAAAATTTCACTGCCCTAAACACATCCATCTACTTGTCCCTCTCTCCTCTCAAGCTCCTGGTAATCACCGATCTTTTTGCTGTCTCCATTTTTGCCTTTTCCAGAATATCATATAGTTGGATTTCAGAATATCATATAGCGTTGCTGTTTTACATTCGATTCTTTCACTTAGCAATGTGCATTTAAGATTTCTCCATGTCTTTTCATGGCTTCGTAGCTCATTTCTTTTTTTTTAAGGGGTGTGTGTGTGTGTGTGTGTGTGTGTGTGTTTTGAGAGAGAAAGTGCACATGCATGAGTGAGCAAGATCGGGGGAGAGGCAGAGAGAGAGGGAGAGAGAATCCCAGGCAGGCTCCATGCTGTCAGTGCCGAGCCGAATGCAGGGCTCGACCTTGGGAACTGTGGGATCATGACCTGAACCGAAATCAAGAGTCGGACACTTAATCAACTGAGCCACCCAAGGGCCCTTCGTTTCTTTTCACTGGTGAACAATATCCTGTTGTCTGGATGTATCGAAGTCTGTTGGTGTTACCTACTGGGTTGCATCCAATTTGGGCCATAAATTGTAAATAAAGCTGTTATAAATATTCATATGCAGATTTTGTGTGGGCATAATTTTCCATCTTATGTAGGCAAATACAAAGCCATGCAATCGCTGGGTCATTTGATGAGAATATGTTTATTTTTGTACGAAACTACATTATGTCTCCCAAAGTGGTTGTGTCATTTTGTATTTCCACCCACAACGGATGAGAATTTCTGTTCTCTATATCCTTGCCAGCATTTGGTGAGATCTACTCCTACCTTCTTAATAAGATTTCTAAACTAATTCTAAATTTGCTTTCCCTTTCGCTCCTTTTAAAATAGATTTTTTTTTTTAATTAGGAAACACCTTGAACATATTGGAAAGCAAAGAAACCATTAAGAGACAGTTAAGTCTTCCCTTTTTTATTTTAATTTAATTTATTGTAATTAATGGCCTGTTTTTACATGGTATGTTAGATCCTATTTTCCATCCTTCATCTTTGCCTTTTTTTTTTTTTTTTCTCATTTCTGGTCTTCTCTTGGATTGTATTTTCTACATTTCCTCCCCTCGTTCTATTACTGATTTGTAAATTATGGATTGAATATACATATCAAACCATTCTCTGATGGTTGTGGTAGATTATGACACTCGTGGCCCTCCGGGAAGCGTGCCACCTGGTATCTTTCGTAATCTTTCGTATCTTTCGTAATCTTTCGTATCTTTCGTAATCTTTCGTATCTTTCGTAATCTTTCACGTCGTGGGGCCAATCTCTAGAACTCCTCCCATCTTGCAAAACTGAAACTCTGTACTTGTTACGCACTGATTCCCCAGCCTCCCTCCCCAGCCACCGGCAAGTGTCACTCTAGTCTCCGTCCCTGTGAATTTGACCACTCTGGGCACCTCAGGTAAGCAGACTCACACAGTACCTGTCTTTTTGCGTCTGATGTATTTCATTCGGCGTTATGTCCTCGAGGTTCATCCCAGTTGTAGCCCGAGTCTGGATTTCCTTCGTTTGTAAGGGTGAAGGATGGTCCACTGAGTCGCTTCTGCCTGTTGGCTCTTATGAATAACGCTGCTGTGAGCGATCTTTCTTTCCATTCTTTTCGTTCTTTTGGCGATAGATCCAGAAAGGGAATTGCTAGATCCAGAATTTTCCATAGGGAATCTGTGTTTAATTAGTTGAGGTGCCGCTTCTCGGATTAGTAACTATTCTGTTTCCCACAGCAGCTCCGTCGTTTTACGTTCCTACCAACAGTGCACAAGGGCTTGTTATTTTAAAATTTTTGGGGGGGGAGGGGCAGAGAGAGAGAATGGGAGAGAGAGGATCTCAAGCAGGCTCCACACCCAGGGCGGCCCGACGTGGGGCTCAATCTCACGACCTTCAGATCACAGACTTGGGCCAAAATCCAGAGTCAGATGCTCAACCGACTGGGCCCCCCGGACTTGTTGTTATTATTTTTTTTATTTTTTTTCAACTTTTTTTTTTTAATTTATTTTTGGGACAGAGAGAGACAGAGCATGAACGGGCGAGGGGCAGAGAGAGAGGGAGACACAGAATCGGAAACAGGCTCCAGGCTCTGAGCCATCAGCCCAGAGCCTGACGCGGGGCTCGAACTCCCGGACCGCGAGATCGTGACCTGGCTGAAGTCGGACGCTTAACCGACTGCGCCACCCAGGCGCCCCTGTTATTATTTTTTTTATAGTGGGCCATCCTGATGGGTCAGTCAGTTCCACATTTAATTTTAAAAACTGAACCAAAATTTCGATTTCTGGTCAATGCTCTGAAGATCTTGACCTGTTCTATACCCATAGGACCCTTTCTCCATCTCCACCGTCGTAGCCATAGGGCCAGGCAGATACCTCCACGGACAGGTCTCTACTAAAAATCTGCCTTCAGAGATCAATACTTCCTTTACACGGAGAGAGCATGGCTAGAAACGGATGGAAACCACACCCAGGAGTGCAAGAGCCCTACAGTAAATTGCTCGGGGGAATTGAAAGAGCTTTTGAAGTAACAGGTGGCAGTTTGAGAGCCTTTGAACCAGACTTTACTTATTGGCTAAAAAGGAATCTTGTTGTTTTAATCAAAGAGAAAATGTGCAGTGGTATCTGGGGGGGGCAGGGGGAACGGTGGTTCTCATAACCTGTATCCCAAGTGTCTGCAGACACATCGCATATTTCACAGTGATTCCTCTTAAAGTGGCAGGAAAGTGACTGGCCGTAGTATTTGGCTAAGCAACCGCCAGATTTTCTGGAGTCATACGGTGATGTCTCTCAAACCAGACCCGTTGAAATATAACAAGTGATCCCTCTGAGATCTTGAAACACGTTCAACCGGTGTGTTCTCTGCAGTCAGGTGATTTGGTACCGTGTTTTAGTGAATCGTCACCAGAGTCTCCAAACTGCTTTAAAAAAAAAAAAAAAAAAAAAGCAAATGCACACTATCCCTTGCTCCTTTTCTCATCCAAAAAGGCCGCTGATTCCAGAGGCTTCCATACCATGCCTCGCTGCCCCCCCGCTTCTCCCCGGCAATGCCCCGCGACATTCTCTTCACTCTTGATGTGTCCCCCCTCCTCCGTTTCTGACCTTTCTTTTCCATATTCCACTCTTTCTCCCTCTGGAAATCACCTCTGCCACCTATTCCTCATTTTCAATTCCCTGCAGTCACCAGACAGGCCGAAGTAATAGACAAGTCCGTTTCCTGTCGTCCTACACGCTACACCCTTCTCCCTGGCTTTGCAAAGTACGTTAAGGAAAAATCGGTCGTACGAGGAATCGCTTCATTGTTGTTGTTTCCTTTGGACTTCCATCAGCACTTTATGAATTTCTTAACTTTCAGGGGGAAACCTGCCTGAAATCTGGACACCCAGGGCTTTCTGTGAACACTGAGAGTACGAGTAATGATGCCGACGTTCATAAGCCATCCATGGAAATGAGTTATGTCACTGAATGGTGCGCTTTGTCTCCACAGTGTCCTGCTCAGCTTTTACACGTGCACAGGCTATTGTCAGACGTTCAACCCCATTTCCGTCTGGCAGACAAACAGCACGAATGTGAACCCTCCAAAAAAAAAATAATAATAATAATAATAGTAAAAGAGGTTGGTTTATAAAACCCAGAGCTGGCTCTTCAGTTGGTTTGTTTAAGAATTTGTCTGGAGGCGGGGGGTGGGCCCTGGGGGACTCAGTCGGTTGACAGTCCGACTTCGGCTCAGGTCATGATCTCACAGTCCGTGAGTTCGAGCCCCGCCTGGGGCTCCATGCTCACAGCTCGGAGCCCGGAGCCTGCTTCCTATTCCGTGTCTCCCTCGCTCTCTGTGCCCCTCCCCCGCTCATGCTCTGTCTCTCTCCCAAAAATAAATAAATATTTTTTTTTTAAATCTTAAAAAAAAAAAAAAAGAATTTGTCTGGAGGAGGTTAACAGTGTGTTGGGAGGAACACACTCCGTGTTGGAGTAACGATATTCTGCTGGGCTTGCTTTTCTACTCATCACCGCCACGTCAACTAACATTTGGCCCCCGCGCTCTGTTCTGCCATCCAAATTAGTGGTGCTCACCAACACCAGGTTCAGCGGGCCCCCTCCCCGCTCAGAGACGCCCCCTCCCCCCACCGTGGGTTTTAGTCGTGCAAGTCGTAGCTCCCAACCTTGATTTCATCTGCAGAACAAGTATCTGGCTCAGTCACCTGCCAACCCAGGACTCTGGAGAAGGTGACTAACTAATGTCTTGATGCCTCAGTTTCCATCTGTGAAACGGGGCTGGTAATGCCATATGGCTCAGAGCAGTGCTAGACCTAAGCCAGCAGTCGATGGATGCTAGCTCTTCCCGCCATTGCGTAAATGATTGCTGTGCATTTCCCCCCCCACCCCGCCCACCCCCCGCCCCGCGCTCTCATCTGTACAGTGGCTCATGCCACCCGCTGATTTTCAGGTAAGGAAGTGGGAAGAGGGTACCTTCTGAACCTCTGGGATCGAAAACACGCTCAGACATTCTGATCTACCTCCTAGGAAAGGCTCCCGCCCTCCCTCCAGGGACATACCTCCAGGAACATCACTGGCTTGAACTCCTGTTCCAAATACCTGCTCTGAACCTCGGTCACCAGTTGGACCACTAGGACTGGTAAGAAACCATCGAGAGGGGTCCAAAGCAGGGCTAGCATTTCCTTGTGCTGTCGGATCTCCTGGGAAAACTGGATTCTTAGGTGAAGTTGCCTGCATTTTAAATGTGAACATGATTTCAAATGTTACATTTTTGAAATAGAATTCGAAGGGAGCCCCAAGAACCATTAATAGGTGAGCCCCAAACATGTACATCAGGCCCCTGTAACTCCAACTTCCGCCCTCTGGCCTATACAAGCCCCTGTTCCTTCCAGAGAGTTCCTGACGACAAAGAGAAAATGACAAGGTTGGAGTCGAGAGGACTTCCCGTGTGCACTACTGAGACAAAGAACTCCCTTTTATGGAAGACGATGCTGCTTTCCAATGATGTGAACGGACTTGCCCAAGGTCATCTAGACTTCAACAAAGAGGCCAAGCAGGCTGTTACCCACCCCCCCCACACACACACCCATTCTACCACACGGGGGCCTCCCCAGTCTAGGTCTGCCCTTAGGGGGGTGCACAAACCACTCCCGTGTTGGGCGTTTTGCTCTATTTGTGCATCTCCCAGCCCACAGCCCAGGGACCAACTCTTCCCCTTTGTCAGCCTTCTTTAGCCCTGACCCTGGTGCCTGCCACCATCCTAGGCAAGTGGCCAACAAATTGTTGTGGCTCAAAGGAATTGAAGTAATGAAGCCCGTCGGGTTATTGCATTAAAGTAACAACTTACTCGATATGTACAGATAATGTCAGATCTGCTTTAGATCCCCTGGATTCTAAAGTAAATGAGTTTCTGGATCCTTCACTAGCTCAAAACCTTCATTCATTCATTCATTTGTCCATTCATTTGGCCTTTCTTGAGCTGCCCCTTGGGCTAGGCACTGTGTTAGGGACAGACACACAGTCCAGTCCACAGAAGAATCTTGACAGTGTTAAGTGTAGATATTATAAAGGCATATGTTCATTGTAAAAGAGAAAAAAAAAAAAACCATACCAATTTATTTTTATTTTTATTTTTTTTTTAATTTTTTTTTCAACGTTTATTTATTTTTGGGACAGAGAGAGACAGAGCATGAATGGGAGAGGGGCAGAGAGAGAGGGAGACACAGAATCAGAAACAGGCTCCAGGCTCCGAGCCATCAGCCCAGAGCCTGATGCGAGCCTGACGCGGGGCTCGAACTCACGGACCACGAGATCGTGACCTGGCTGAAGTCGGACGCTCAACCGACTGCGCCACCCAGGCGCCCCAAACCATACCAATTTAAACACGAGGATGGGAAACGAATTCAGATGGAAACTGAGACACCTGTACACAAGGAAGTTCTCTCCCTCTCTCTCAGCCCCCCTATCCCTTTCTGGTGGCTCAGAAACACACAGTTATTTCCTAAAGCAACGGAGGAAGGCTGCATGATTCCTGCATGGTGAGTTGGCATTGTAGGGGCATAGATCTGGAAGGGGCCTTCGGGATCTCTTTGCCCCATCTAAGAAGGATTTACTGACTTTTTTTTTTTTTAACTTGAGAGAGAGAGAGAGAGAGAGAGCATGTGTGCATGTGAGCAGGGGAAGAGCAGCAAGAAAGAGAGAGAGAGAGAATCCCAACACTGTCAGCACAGAGCCTGATGTGGGGCTGGAACCCACGAACCCCGAGATCATGACTTCAGCAGAAATCAAGAGTCGGACGCTTAACCGACTGAGCCACCCGGGAGCCCCGGATTTACCGACTTTTTAAAGCAGCGTTTTATGACCTGCCATCTGCCTTTGGCTTTAATGATCCCAGAACATAAACACAGATACTGAGTAATGGTTCGAGCAGTCAGATCCCGTTGTGTGATCCCAGAGGACATTTATTTTCGTGAATCCAGGCTCGGGGATCTGATCTGGCAGAGCCCAGCCAGCATCTGACAGCTCCTGTATCTGGTTCACTTCATCTGTTTGGCCTTTAAATGTGAGGTTTGAGGTCCCTACCTCTTTTCTCTCGACACGGTCTCCCTAGGTGACCTCATTAAAACGCATGGGTTAGAATACCATCTACGTTTCAAAGGCTTCCAAATTTACATCTGTAGCTCAGTCTTCTTTTTGTTGCCAGGGCTGACGTCAGAGAAATTACTGCCTGTTGTCTCTTCGAGGACGTTTATGGTTGTGGGTCTCACACGGAGGTTTTTCAGCCATTTCGAGTTTATTTTTGTGAATGGTGTTACGAGAGCGGTCCAGTTCATTCTTTGGCGTGTCGCCGTCCCGCTTTCCCGGCACCATTTGTTGAAGAGATTGGCTTTTCCCCATTCCCATATTCTCGCCTCCTCCTTTATCAAAGGTTAATTGACTATGTAATTGTGGGTTTATTTCTGGGCGCTCTATTCTGTTCCGTTGATCTGTGTGTCTATTCCAGCTCAGTCCTCTCGTGTCTGAGCCACAGTGTTATGTTCTGCTCCCTATTCAACATTTCCACCTGGGGGGAGGTCTTAGGGTTATTTCAAGACACCTCGAAATAGCCCTTTCTCCCCGCCCAGGTTTCCCTCTCCATCGTAATGGCACCGTTGTCTATTCGTATCATTTTCTCATAGAAAACTGGAAGCTCTCCTCAAGTTCTCCTTTGCCTGTTTCCTCATCCATCCAATCCACCCATCAGGAAGTCCCACCACATCCTCCACCACCAACACAGCCATGTCTCCCTCTTCTCCGCACCCTTCCTGTCAACCGCCATAGTCCAGACCACCATAATCTCTCTTGGACTGTAACAAACATCCCCCGAGTTGGCCTCCATGCTTCCATAATACCATTCTCTAATCAGTTCTCAACTTAGCAACAAATGATGTTAGAAGTCCAATCAAACTGGGTCACCCCTCAGCTTGACATATGGGTGCCCATCGAATTTCAAGTGGCCTCCAACTGCCCTCCAGCTTGCCTGCCTTGTCTTGTGCCCTCCTCTCCTTATTCGTGGTCCTGAAGTCTCGATGGCTCCCTTAAGTGCCGCAAATAGGTTTCTACACCATGGTCTTTGTCAATGCTGCCCACTAGGCTGCATTTTTTTGTCCCCACTCTTTACACTGGGACCTCCTTTCCAGCCTTGGTCTCACTCAAATACCCAAGTTCATGGAGACTTTCTCTGGCACGCAAGAAAGATACTAGAAAAATAGCACTCAAGGACCCCAGTAGGTTCCTGTCATTCTCTATATTAGATTAGCCTTTCCCCCTTTTCAAGGCACACATTAGAAATGGCAATTGTCTAGGTGACTTGTTTTCTGGTGTCTTCCACTAGAAGAGAAGCCATATGAAGGTAGAGACTGTGTCTCATTTGTTATAATATGCCTAGTATTTATGTCACATAGAAGGTACTCAGAAAATGTGGCCGGTCTTCTTAACATGAACAAGTAGTAAGACTAGAGGGAAACCGCAGCAAAATGGTGGATTAAGAAGCTCCAAGCTCTTGGTCAACCACAGAAAACAAACAAATCGGAAACTGACTGACTTAACTTTGTCAGAACTCAGGGCAGGAGGGCGGAGGGAGTCCAATTTTTAAATCAAGTGAATGTCAAATTAAAAAAAAAAAAAAGAAAGAAAAGAAAAGAAAAGGAGAAGGAAAGAAGAGAAAAGAAAAAGAAAAGAAACGATCTTCAAAGCGGTAGGAACGTTTTGTGGCATTCTTACTTGGCCTTACCCCGCCCCTCCCTGGCACAGTAGAAGCTTTGGTCTTAAAGTAGCAGCAGCCTGTGTGCCCAGTTTGGGACCTCAGTCCTTCCAAGCAGAGGGAGCAGAACAGACCTCATTCCCAAGTTATTGTCTATATCTATTCTAATCTCTCCGGGGGATACTTGAAGGACTGATACAAGTACATTCCTTTCTTTCTTTTTTTTAATTTAATTTTTTATTTTTTTTAAATTTACAAACAAATTAGCATCTAGTGCAACAATGATTTCAGGCATTGATTCCTTAATGCCCCTCCCCCATTTAGCCCATCCCCTCACCCGCAACCCCTCCAGCAACCCTCAGTTTATTCTCCATATTTATGAGACTCTTCTGTTTTGTCCCCCTCCCTGTTTTTATATTCTTTTAGTTTCCCTTCCCTTATGTTCATCTGTTTTGTCTTTTAAAGTCCTCATATGAGTGAAGCAAGACATTTATTTCTGTCTCACGTAGCTTGGAACTGGGGTGAGAGGAACGATAGACACAGCTCATGAAAGCAGCAAGGTGGACTAGAGACCCACGGCTCTCTGGGGCAAGAAGTTGTGGGCTGTGACATAAAATGGATGACCTAAGACCTGGAAGGAAAGCTGGGGTGAGATTCTTTGGGAAATTAAGTCATTCAAAAGCCACCACACATGAGAGGAGATTTAAAGCCATGCACATCCCCAGGGCAAGAGGCATGCTCAGAAAAGACCTCAGAAGACGTTAAGATTTCACCTTGAGCGAGGGGCACCTGGGTGGCTCAGTTGGTTAAACACCTGACTTTGGCTCAGGTCATGATCTTGCAGTTTGTGAGTTCGAGCCCCATACTGGGCTCTGTGCCGACAGCGCAGAGCCTGGAGCCTGCTTCAGATTCTGTGTCTCCCTCTCTCTCTGCCCCTAATCCGCTCGCACTCTGTCTCCGTCTCTCTCAAAAATAAAGAAACATTAAAAAAATAAAAAAAAAAAAAGATTTCATCTTGAGCTAATCCCTAGCTTCAGTGCAAGTCTAGCTTAGTGCTGGCAAAGCGTTCCAGCCGAGAGCCAATTTACAAAGACTAGGAGGGCTATTTTAGTTTTCTGTATGTGTGTGAGTGTTTGCTCCTGGTAGTCAAGGAAATCTCTAGCAAAACATTAGCCGAACAAGAGCAAAAGGAACAGACTTTAATGATCACATATGATAAGGAATAGTTGTTGTAAAAATGGTTTCGAAAATCACAAAACAGATGGGCTATTATAGCCTTCGTCAATAAGAACAAACACAATAGAGCAATCAAAACGTCCCAGAAAATTCCGAGGAAGACAGAGGAGCTGATCTTCAGAGTTACAACATTATAATAGTCAAACATGCAATTTTCAACAAAAAGTCACAAGGCATACAGAGAAACAGTAAAATCTAGCCCACTCGAAGGAACGAAATAAACTGACAGAAACTGTCCCGAGGAATGCCAGCCATCAGACTTCCTAGGACGAGGCTTTAAAACAACTGTCTGCAATATGAATAAAAGGAAAAATATGGGCAAAGAACTAAAGGAAATCAGAAAAAGATGCATTAACAAAGTGAGAATATCATTACAGAGAGAAAGGGTTAATAAGGACTGAACAGAAATTCCAGAGCTGAAAAGTAAAATCATTAACATTAAAAATTCACTAGAGGGGCTCAACAACAGATTTGAGCAGCCAGAGAAAAAGAATCAGCAAACTTAAAGACATGACATTTGAAATTCCAAGTATGAAGGAGAAATAAAAAAGAATGAAGAAAAGTGAACGGAGCCCAAGGGACACCATCCAGTGGATAAACCAACATCACATTATGGGAGTCCAAGAATGAGGATGGAGAGAGAGAGAAGAAGGGGCAGGAAGATTATTTGAAGAATTAATCACCAAAACCAGCTCAAATTTGGGGCGCCTGGGTGGCTCAGTCGGTTGAGCATCCGACTTCGGCTCAGGTCATGATCTCACAGCTTGTGGGTTCAAGCCCCGTGTCGGGCTCTGTGCTGATGGCTCAGAGCCCGAAGGCTGCTTTGGATTCTGCGTCTCCCTCTCTCTCTACCCCTAACCCACTCACATTCTGTCTCTGTCTCTCTCAAAAATAAACATTAAAAAAAAATTTTTTTTTTAAAAACCAGCTCAAATTTGATGAAAGATCTGAGCATACAAAGCCAACAAGCTCAATAAACTCCAAGTAGAATAAACTCAAAGGGACCCGCGGCAAGTCACATTATAATCCAACTGACAAAAAACCAAAGAGAAAATCTCGAAAGCCACAAGAGAAATGACTTAACGCATATGAGCGACCTTTAATAAGATCACTTGTTGA